TACCGAACCACCCAGAACAGATGCCCCCCCAGCCGCCCGCAGCTCCCGACAGCTGCCGACAGGTGGGGCGTGCGGGGGGCATCTGCTTGCGGCAGCTCCGTGCACCAGCGCATCGCCCCCCTCAGGCCCCCCCCCTCCTTTGGCTGGTGGATCCCGACAAGGCTGCAGCGGAGAGCCACGTCGAGATGGGGCGCCGCTTCCTGCGCACCGCCTTCTTCCTCTCTGGGCAGCCCTGCTTCCGGGCCGCGGGCTGGGGGCACCGCTGCTGCGCGCGCAACCTCTCGGGCCACCCGCTCCCGCGCCGCTCCGCGGCGCCCGCCGTGCACCCCGGGTGCTCGCAGGAGGGCCGGTCGAGACACGGGCGGCTGGCACGCCCGGCCCGTGCCCACGCAGCCTCGGCCCCTGGGCTCCTTGCGAGGTCCCTCTTTGCCCGCTCATCGAGGCGGCGGGTCCAGCCGCGGCGACGAGGAGACCTCCGCGAGCGCGAGGCCCGAGAAGGACGACGGGCGCCCGGGGAGGTCCGCCGTGGCCTCGCCCGGCCCTCCTCGGAGGTGCTTCGGCGAGGTGCGCTCGGAGGCGCTCTGCTGTGGCGCGCAGCTCCCGAACGGCGGGCCGCTCCTCGAGGTGCGCAACGCCAGCGCCCGCGCGGAGCGGCGTTCGCCGCCCTGGCGCGCGGTGGCCGGGTGCTCGGACCTGGACGGCCTGAGGGGGGCGGGCTTGCTCATGGGCCAATGTTCCACCACCTCTACCATGGGCAGGGCGGGGGAGGTCTCCTTCTCCTCTTCCCTGCCGGCCCTGGTGAGAAGCCAGGGCCGTCGCGCAGCCACATCGCAGGGGATTTTGCCAGACGCGCGCAAGGCACCAGTCTGGGTGTGTTGACGCTGACCCCCTTTATGCGGATGTCCTGTCCTGTCCTGTCCTCCTCCTCCTCCTCCTCCTCCTCCTCCTCCTCCTCCTCCTCCTCCTCCTCCTCCCTCTCCTGCCTCTGGTGGTTGTGGTGGAACATCGGCCCATCACCTGCTGCCCTGGCTGCGGGCTCTGCTGCGGCTGCCGCCCTCCCGGCAGGCGTCCTGCGTGGCCGGCGCGCTGGCGCCGCGGCTGCGGGGGGCGCGCGCGCCCGAGGCCCAGGCGGCCCTCGCCGAGCTCGCCGAGGCCGTGGGCGCCCGGTGCCCGTCCCGGCGGGCCCTCGCGGCCCTGCGGCGCAACGTGATGCTCTGGTACCGCGCCAGCGCGCGGGCGCCGCAGCTCTCCGGCGCAGCGGGGCCCCCGCCCGGCCCGCTGGGGCGCCTCCTGGCCTCGCTGGAGCGCTGCCGCCTGGAGCTCCCCGCGCGCCCCGTGGTGCACGCGCACGTCCCGAAGACGGCGGGCACGGCGATGTGCGCCTGGGCCAACGCCAGCGGCTTCGTGCACGCCACGGCGACCGGGTTCGAGCGAGACTTGGGCCTCGGGTGCCACTTCCGCGGGGACGGGCCTCACTGGCTGGGCCACAGGAGCGCGCCCGCCTCCTGCGCGCAGCGGCTGCGGGAGGCGGCAGCGGCCAACGTGTCCTGGATGTCCGTGGAGAGGTGGCTGGACCTGCCCCTGTGCGAGGGCCTGGCGTACGTGGTGGCGCTGCGAGAGCCGGTCGCCCGCTCCGTGCACAACTTCCGGCACTTGCTGAACTACTACCTCGGCGACAGCCTCGGCGCCCCCGAGGCTCCGAGGTCGGGCGAGGCGGCGAGTCCGCACGTCCTGGTCCTGGAGCGGCTGGACGCGGGCGAGACCGTCGAGCTCTTCGACATCAGGGCCGCGGTCGAGGGCGTCACCAAGGGCCTCTTCGGGAAGCTCTGGCGCTACGGGGAGCTGCGTGGAGCCCTGCACGGCCGCCCGGGCGCCGCGCCGCCCGCAGCAGACTGGCTCGACATCTGGCTCGGCCTCGCCGGCAACTACCAGGTCCGCAGCCTCGCCGGCGCGGGCGAGGGCCGCTGGCTGGCCGAGGACGCGGCGGGCGCCGAGCACCGCCTGGGCGCGGCGATGCAGGTGCTGGAGCAGCTGGACGCCGTGCTGGCGGTGGGCCGGGGTGGCCCCGTGCGGCCGTGGCAGGCGCAGCTCCTCGAGGCCCTGCTCCCCGTGCCCGCGCCCGTCGGCGCACGTGGGCAGCTCCCCGCGGGAGCCGCCGAGGGCCTCCGCGGGGGCGGCCCCGCGCGGCGCGCAGAGGAGGCGACCGCTGGCGGCGCTGCGGGCGGGTTTCCCGAGTTCAGGCACGGGGCGGCGCACGCGCTGAGGGCTGGGCGCCGCCAGAGGTGCCCCGTGGCCAGAGGTGGCCCCCAGGATGGAGGCTCCCGCGGCCTCCAGTCCTCCTCCTCCTCCTCCTCCTCCTCCTCCTCCTCTTCCTCCTCCTCCTCCTCCTCCTCCTCCTCCTCCTCCTCCTCCTCCTCCTCCTCCTCCTCCTCCTCCTCCTCTCCTCCTCCTCCTCCTCCTCCGCCTCTCTCTCCTCTCCTCCTCCTCCTCCTCCTCCTCC